CAAAAGCGCACTACACCCGTGCTACGGACACCAATATTCCATAACCTGACAAAAAAAATAAATACCCGTCATCTTTTCGTTACAATCATATCAAGTTGAAAAACAACAACAAAATAACCCACTTTTCTCATTTTTAGATAGGTTCTGGGAAAACTTTCGTAGCCCTATTCAGCTAGCAACAAAGAAATCAAAAGTTCATTCACCTAAGGTAATTCAAGAGGTTTTTTACGAACTCATCTGAATGTTCTGACTGGACAGGTACAGTAAATGAGCTCAAATATTATAAGGAGGCGCTTAAACTTCGATTTCGAATAGTATTTGGGAGGGAACATTTTTTGTTTGCGTGTTTGGTAGATGACCTGATTTTCGAGCCAACGTACCAACTACAAATTGATTGACACAAGCGTGTAAGTGATCCCAAATTCGTTATGTCAGATACGTTGCATTTTGAGTGAATCAGTCCAATCACGAATTTTCTAATCAAATGTAGTTTACTGACCTACCTGCATCTATTTGATATAGTTAATTGCATCTCAAACTTTTAAGATAGTCGCTTTTTTAAAAACTGCTGAAATATCCGTGCATTGAAATCAATTCGTGAGCATCAACTCAGCCTAGCGAATCGGCAGCTCAACAAGATGTTTCTATTCTAAGCCACAAGCGTTACTCGAACTCGACTTCATAGATAATATCACAGTTAATTGACGTGAGTGGATCAGCTTTTAAACAATATTCACAGTATCACTCAGGTGTTAAAAGTCTTAACGCCGACAATCTTTGACGAAACAGGACTGGAAGAATTTTCGTTCTCGTAGTTACGTGCAAAATTTGACTCGCTTATCGTTTCTTTCGAAGTTGGATTAAAATAACTATGGTGATGGTCTGAAAAAAATTATTATCATCGTACCAACTTCGGTTTGTTCTTAAAAATTCGATAAACAAAACAACGGTTCACGCTGAGTCTATAGGAAAGTCTCAGTGTTTGAATATATGGCTTGATGAACTATATCAGTTTTAACTGCTTTTTTCTAAACGGCTATTTCAAATCCGTACAGCAGTGCTCATAAAATCGTTTGACCGAAATCATTTGAGAGTGAATTCAAAGAAAATTTTGGAAGCAGCAACTAAAAGACGAAGACAGTCATTCACAGAGAAAAACGGAACTGACCCAGAGATAGTTCTGTAAATTGGAGAGGCAGTTGTAAAATCTATAGATGTTTTAGTATTCACAATCCAAAATGTAATGACTAGGCAGTTGAACAGAAACATCATTCGGGTTTCATCTGAGAAAATACGAACGCCTTGCACGAAAGGCTTTGTTCAGAATAGTTTGTGAATGATGAAACGTGACTTGAAATAAAAAGCGTGTTTATGAACAACATTTTTTTCAGTTGTGTTGTTTTGAGAACAAGGAATTTCAATACCATTCCATCATCTGAAACTTATAAACAAATCATTGAAATTGCATACAATTTTGCATCAGAATTCGAAGTCAACAACTGGCGTTGAGGCTATTTGTTAAAACTTGGTCTGCATCTTTTCAACCTCGTCAACGTTGCATAGGCTTTTTTAGTTGACCATGGTGATGACTTCGAATGTAGACCAGAGGAAGACAAAAATCAGGGTCGACAACGTTTAAGAACAAAAACATTTATAGTCAAGTATAAGGCTGAGTACAAATTGCATTTTTTTTCTTTTTTCCGTAGAGTATACTTTCACATCATGGTTCTTTACTAGGTCTTGGGTATTGAAGAAGACAGTTGATATCTTGGTACGCTTCGTGACATTATTTACGGCAAGGGAAAAACACCTCTTTGATCCGAAGACAGATCGATTAAGTTACGTACCTGACAACACAAAAATGAAAGCATTTCTCGAACTTTTCAATGAGTTAAATAGGCTTGTCCAAGATTACACGTCGAATAGTGGTCTATGAACGTTTCAGTAGCTTTTGTTTTGCAACAGCTGCTTCAGGGAAACAAGAACATGAAAAACTAGAGTTATGAGATGAATTCACGGTGGTCCTTTGTGTAATGATCACAATAGGAATAGTGAAGTTATTTCTGATAAATAGTTTGTCGAAGCCTTTGGCAAGCCGAGTTTATTTGTTGAAATAAACATAAACGTTATCTCAATGGACTCATTCTGTGGAATGGTGGCCTAAATGAGTTTCAGTCCATCTTCTGCCGGTGTTCGTTTTCGGCTTTATAAGGGTTTTTATTCTACCAAAAGAAAACATCCAACTGACTCAATAAATTTCATCGATACTGTTCAATGGAGCACGATCTTGTAGGAAAAAAGGTTGTGAATGAAGTATCCTTGGAGCGAGGGCAAGGTCAGTTTGTCCTTTGCACTTTAGAAAATGTACAGTAGATTCTAGTTCCGAAATGTCCTTCTTTTAACTTTATTTATTTTCCCTCTCATAAAAAGAAAACCGATGTTAATAATGATAAACCATGTACCAGGCAGTATGAGATATTCCTGATCGTAATTGCCTTACAGCCAACTTTTTTCAAAAAAACACTTAGTTTTATATTGCTTCTAACAAAACACGGAAAAAGGGGGTACAAATAGGACGCGGTTAGTTATGTCCGTAGTAAATAGAAATCGATTTAAACCCAATAACACGGTTTCTTATTGGTAGTGCTGTTTCACGCTGCCAAATTTTTTTAATATTTCGATAGTGTTTCTATTGTTTCAGCAAAACTAATTTTGCTTTAATCTTGCGGAATTGTAAAAGCCCTGATCCGATACCACTTTATTCACTTGGGTGTTTGCGCTTGGACTGGGCAGAAGAAATCCGTATAGGTTTATTGCCCAGAAGCTGATATTTGGTGTAGCACCAATCTCAAACCTACTCGCTGTGTCAGGAAACCGTGACTATGTAATCAAAGTTTGCGATTCTGCGCTACTCCTTCTTTATTCCTATGTAGTTTCTGTATGTAAAGCTCTTTTGGTCACTTCCAAAAACAAGGAAGTTCCATGAAAGTTAAAAATAACCTCCACTGTCCAAAATAATTAATTGAATAGCACAGCGAAGTAATGTCATCCATTGCAAAGCAAAATTATAAAGCCTTGTATTAGGTCACCTAAATCTGAAGGAAATAACACATCAGTACCTTGAAAGTACAGCCCGGAGGTTGGAACAAACGATGTCTGTCACGCACGAAACTAATAACTGCTGCAAAGGTTCATTATTCTGAAAATCAGTTGGCACTCAACGACCCAATCCGATTGTGGCTACCGGTATAAACTCTAATTAATTATCTTACCTTTTAGTACGTATCACTCTTTTTTTGAGCATCCAAATACGGTTCATCCGGACACGCAGCTTTCTTTGGATCGAGCTAACAGGCTTGTATTCGTTGACGTTATTTCGACTAGATTTCAAGACTTTAGGTTGAGTATAATTATATACCAGAGGCAAGTATGGCCAGGACAGTGCGTACTTATTTCGAGCTTCTTATCTCTGAGCTTGGAAGAACCAGGTATGACAGAGTTCGCAGGCTGTACCCCAGACATACTTTTCTTTGAAAAGCAAATGGAAAATAATGTGCTCCATTCAAACAGCTCCATTCAAAATATTATCAAAATTCATTGTGCAAGCGCTTTGAAAGTGAGCATCACACTCGGGCTTTTCGTGCACCACCTTAAATCGGCAATCAAGCATTAGTACAATGCCGCTTTATTATGTCTATGTGGACAGACTTCCGACCTCAGTCAAGCAACTTTCATCATTTCATACCAAATCGCACCTCGTATACATGTTCTCGCATGGGTGTTCAGCCGCCTACGTACGTTACTCTGAAAGGCAACTTTGATTGAGCGTAACACAGTATATGAATCAACGAGTGAATATCTATGTCAGCCAATGGGCAAAACACCTCAAAGGGTTATCTGCCCGGTAGCCATCAGCCCCTTTCATCACAGGCCGTTTACTGAGCACAAAGTATCATATTGACGAAACAAGTGCTTCCTCTGATTTCCTCTGCCATCAATTCAAGCCTGCTGCAGTTTTCCGGAAAGACTGCTATCCGAAACGGAAACCTAACTTGTGCAAGCATAACAGTAGTTAACTTTCTTCGAGTTGTTTTGGTAAAGATAAGACTTTAATTAGCCTACCATCGACAACGATTTTCTTTGCAACCGCAACAAATAATACTAAACTGTTTGTAGTATTTACCTGATGAGAAACGGCATCATCTTACCAAATATAAACTGTGAACCTAAATTCTCTCATGTCCTCCTTTTAAGTTCATACCAGGGTACGGTTGTTTCAAGTTACTATAAATAGCTTCCAGGTTTTAGCACGTGTTAAGTCAACTTAAGGATGGATATTTTTTTCATCGGTGGACGATTCTCACTGTATTTTGAATAAAGGCTAGCTGTAACTTCCTGCATGATTTTATGATTTATGTTGTTGTTGTTAACAAGAAACGTGTCGTTGTCTTTGCCACCCTGCTGGTTATTAAAAAACTAGATTTTTTCCTCAGGAGAATGGTAGAAAGATGCACCCATTGAGTAAATCTCGGTGTTATACACAGGAGGAAAAGGCGAACGTGGACTGAAACCATGAAATGAGTCTAACCATTTTGGACGGTGTGCAAGATGATAAATTATGGAGTGGGGTTAGACTTCTGAACGACTGATACTGTGTTTTCTGATGGTGTTATGTTAGGGAGGCAGAACAGTTGTGTGTAAGGTGCAATTTTCCTGCTTCCATCAATTTGTTAGTCCAATAAATAAAAGTGTATATGCGGTTTGTTAACTACCTATTGAGTAATTCTGAAGTAAATTTGAAAATGGCTGACTTGATGAATTTTACTGGCAGTTTGACTCAGGTATACTGTTTATAACAAAAGCATGAAGTAAGTAAGTGAGCAAGTAATCTTCTAGAAACCAGCAGTGAAATCTTTGCGCCAAAGTTTTGTCTAACTTCGGCCAGCTAAACAAACTCAAGATGAGTGTGGTAGTCGATCAGCCCCTGCTTAGAAACTTACTCGGACAAAGTCTCGTCACCGGTAATTGAAGTGTGCCGCGAACTATATACGGAATAACAGTCATCTGTTTCCAGGCGGTAGATAAATGACGGTCGTCTGTCAGGTAGACAATGCAGCACCAAATTGCTCAATCTGACATCTGCTCCACAGGTATTTTGCAGTTCGTTTGAACAACGTCTTTCGGCATCAAAACTGTTGAGAAATCGAGAAAAAAGCACTAAAAAATAACACCCGTTTACCATTGCCAGATAGATGTATTAGTGTTTTCAACGAAATGTGAACAACTAATTTACGCTCGTGCTTGAATCTTATTCAATACATGATTTCAGTTATGTAATTACATGGCCTACTGTTCAGACAACAGCTGTAATAAGTTTTCTCATTTATATGCACAAAAAGAATAATCATATGATGTATGGATCCGCCTAAACTTTGTGATTTTGTAATTCTGTCAAAAATAAATATCGAGCGGAATGATGACAGATTCTGAATCTACTCTAAACCGAATCTAATGTACCAGTATTTATAGTCACTTTACTACTCTTTTAAACTTGGCCATACCTTTAGGTCGGTTAACTATGAGAAAATTGAGCAGTCTACAGGAAATCGAGTCTGATGGCAGCGCAAATTGTGACCATTCAAGGGTAAAATGAGCAAAGATAATATACGAGAACAACTGATGTTTTTTACGCCTTGGGCTATACGGCTTACTCAGGAGTTGCTATGCTTGGATTGGGTTTTGGACATTCATGCATTCAGTGATGATATCAAAAGCTACGTATCTATTTAAAAGTGGGCAGGAAAGTGATGCCTCTAAGATGACTGCTATAATAAGGGGAATTTCTGAGGCTTTAAAGTGTGGCAGTTTCATGATCTACTAATATCTGCTTCCCCATACGGCCGCATTTTCTTGAAATTACCACTTTAGTTATCATACACGCGACATTTCGAAAATCAAGCTAACCATCCAGCTATGACGTAACAAAGCAATGGTGCACAGTTGAGTCGAATAAGATCAGGTTGTGCAATTCTATTTAGAACCCGGATCATAAGTGTAAGATTTCACAGCCAACTGAAGTTCAAATAAATGCATTGTGAATACAACGGAGTGAAATCAGAAATTACAAACATTTTAGTGGCTGGCTGTTTTAAAAACAGAACTAACAGAGCGCGGCATAATACGGTAAAATTTTGATCCACTGGAAGGCAAGTCGTTGACAACACCATATGTAAGCTGGAAAGAAAATAATCCTCATCCGAACAGTGATAAGTGTGAAGTCTGCACAGCGTCGTCAAAGCTTGTTCAACTGCTATGTCAAAGGAAATTCGGTATCTACTTCATTGCAAAGCGAGATATAGTAGTTTGTCTGAGTGAAAGTAGCCGCCACCGTCGGTATTGTAAAAAATTAAAGTGCAATGTGGATACAAGAAGAAAAAAAACACTTAGATAAAAGTGTGCATCGTCCATGGCTACGTGTAAACATTCTCAGTCAGTCTACTTTCATATACTTTTATGAACCACACCTTTGTGGTGTGATTTTCCTAAGTAAAAACGAGACGTAATCATATGGTTTGTAATGAGGTATTTTGTTGAGACATTTACCATCAGTAATTTATGGAGCTCCTTCGGAACCATGTATGGACGTTTTCGGGGACTGAGGTAAACATCTACAGTGAAAGACAACCAACACGTGATATAGTACAGCAATTATAGTGAAAATTTTGAAGTCAACCCTATTACTGTAACCGCTAAGACCGGGTGTGAATTCCAGTCTAGTCCAGATAGGTATGCAATACCTTTCCTCATTTCTAGCAAACATATGGAACAGAGATCTACAGTGCTACCATGCAGTTTACTTCACAAGTTGACCAGTGTCTATATGATTAGCTAATCAATAAATCATTAGCTTTCCCGCCGTTGTTGCCTGCGTGTCATTGATCAGGCTTGCACGTCAGAGAGCAGAATTTTACCGAGACCATTTTGTGTTACTAATTGGTGTCAAAATCAATCTTTGTGAGGAATAAACTCTTCGGGACAATTTGTCAGCATGTGTTTGTTATTTCTTGCTGGGAATAACGAAGGTGGATAATTGCATCAAAATTTGGTACCTACATTTTCATCAAAATCATAAAAAATGTTACTGAACAGTATAAAACACCCAATCCACGTGACAGTCGAACGTAGGTATACAAAACTGCGAGCGAATTGAGCAGAACGGGAAGTAAAATCATTATCACGCTTCTGATTTGCGTTATATCACCTGTCAAATCCATACTTATTTCAGAAACACAATAAAACGAGATCATAGGAAACAGACAAGTTGTTACTGATCGCTCTGCATTTTTACAATAGTTAGCAATACGGTCAAAATCATATCCATCTTGGTTTTCTATCAAATCATACTGCTTCGGCTGTCATTAGTCTGATACTGATCTACTTACCATTATGTTTTATACACTGACTTAGGGCACGACAAATACCGTTCTAGTGCGCTCTGTTATTATTGTTGTTCATAAATGGAGCTGATTCTAAAGTCTCGTTCGAGTATGTGATTTCTATGTAGTAAACTTTGTCCGATATATTGAAACCAAGCTAATAGATGGTGATTTCTAGCTTGTGCGAATTGTGATCGGTTTGAAACCCATTTTGCTCCCTGTAAAATAGACCGTACTGATGATTCGTCACATGAGATGGAATGGCCTCATTGTGATTCTTTGGCTTATTATTAGTGACTTGACGATTCATACAGCACAGGAAATGGTCTAATGGAATGCAGACCCCTCTTCTGGAGATGACTGCGAAGTCATTTTCAAAGGAAGAGCTGTGATAATTTCATGTCCATTAGGCAATTGTTAAACAGAGGACGGAATACGTCGAGGCTTCAGCTACTATCTGATATAAACTTGATTTGTGGAAACAGCGTGAGTCGCCTATCATTTTGGCCGTAACCCGCGAAACGGTCTTTGCACCCCATTAGTACCCGTCATTATCGTTAGACCTATCAACGGCTTGAATCCTGCATTACTCTTCTGACTGTATAAACGGTCACAGAGGCTGCGGTGTGCACGTCTAGAGACACAGGGAAACGATCCGTGTTCGAAAATTATCTATGCACGTATGTGACATGAAATCAATGCATTGCATGATCAACTAAGAAATCAATCTCATTATCCATGAGGATAAAGTGGAAGTGAACAATCACTAGGCAATACTTTGCAGTATCGTATCGAACTGTTAGACAGTCAAAATCCACTCTTGCACCATAAAATTGGTTGTAACATCGTAGTGTCTTTACTTCACATTTGATAATTCCAGTATTCCATCATCATACTGATATATGATTAAACACAAATGGTGATTCTAATTCAAAATTTAGTACTGAAATTTCGGCTGTAATTACCATTGTGTCTTTTTGAAAGCCTTTTGAAATCACCATTTCGTCGAGAACGAAAGTAAAGTAACTCAGAGGTACAATGACTGAGCCATGTTTTAGAAATTTCTATGCCTAGGAAAACATTATCCATAGATCTCATCACAGCACACTAAAAATGATCAGCATTGTGTCTGTTCTTGCCCGACAATTCAATATCCTGTTTTGGCTAGTACTCAGGTTCCGTAAAAAAAGAAAAGTGACTGTTAGATTTAAACTCCCGTGAGTTCAATTTTGACGAAATTCAGTGTCTAAATCAAAAGCTTTCAGTGGGTAGAGCAGTATATTCTCATTCGAATAATCAACGTTATTAAACAAAATAATTAGTTATTTTGAATCACTTTCTGAACGAACTTAAACGAGGCATCATAAATCAAGTTCCTGACTTATTGCACTACTACTGTACGATGGAAAGGGAAGAAATGGGGAAAAATAGAAAAATAACTTAAGATAAAGATAAATTGTGGTCACTCCGTATGATTTTGCTGCTGGTGTGCTATTTTCAGGTGGCAGCAATGATTTCCTTTATTTCCTACAAAGAGTTTTGGACCCTTATTGGTCATCCAATTGTTAGTTCTCCATTCGGAGTCAACAAGGCAGACAGATCCAGCCGCGGTCCAACGGTCAACACCACAGACTTTAGACCCTTCCATCCCGGGTTCGAACCCCCGTGTAGCGGCCGATCACTCCCCAAGCGGAAGTCTCAAATTGGCCACAACCCTGTTCCCAAAATATTTTATCTTTGTTTTACAATAAAAAATGAAATAAAGAGGAGAGAAAAAAAGAGAAAGGAAGGGAGAAAGTGAAAATGCGCCTGTCACTTTTACTGTTTCTTATTATTTGGTTAAATTGGAATATCAGCAGCATAGGCAAACTTCTACATCACATTTGTTTATTCATGGAATAAATGATTGTTTATTGCATGATTTTGGCTTGCATGTTGGGAACAATACCATAGTCACTCAGGTAGCCAGAAAGACATAGTGCACAATTGTACACCAAATAGAGGCCCCAGTTGCTGAGCAATTGACGTGACTGAGATATTTATTCCACCTACGTTCTCCATTTCACTTGTGTATGGAATACTCTAGTACGGTTGCAGTCATCGATTGAAGCTACCCTAGGAGGACATTCCCTGTTAATTTCCAAATATGCGTGCTTACCTTCGGCTGAAACGTGGCGGGATGTTCAACTTGTTTAACTTTTGCCGATAGAAAATATTCGTGGGTAACAAGGTCATGGAGAAGTCATCATCTTCTGGCGTGTTACTCAATCCGTTATCATCGTGTGATTGCCGCCGTTGTTGTAGTAACCACTTTTTTCTCAAGGAATCTAATCGTGTGGGGTTTTGAGCTGCTTTGAAATCAAAGTTGTTTAGTTCCATCTGCCAGGATATGTGATGAGTGCAAGTTCTAACAATGACTGTTTGTGATCCACTTCAATTAGCATAAAGGACTCACATAATTATAACAAACGCTTTTCTGAACTGATCGTTGGGCTGACAGTCGAGTATATGACCTAGGTGGAACTAAGTCACTTCGTTACAAAAGGGGATTGGTCAGAAATTGAGCCAATCATGGACTAGATATTAGCGATTTCTGTTGCGAGCACGTTATGTGGCTCCTGTGTATAAAAATATGTCGCCCATAGTTAAAATCAAATACACAGTCCGTCAGTGAAATTTTGCTGAAAATCCGTACAACCCACTACTTACATTCAAGTGCTGCTATTATTGTTAAGTCAATAAGAAGGGTGTTCATTTTCCCATATGTTGTTTATATTTTCAGCTGAACTGTTTGCGGTAATGAGCTGATATGTTAGTAAGCAGTAATTATTTCCCCGTTTATTCTTTTCTTTAGATAGTGAAACTGTTATTCAATAGTCATTAGAGTTTTCATTTGAAATGTAGAACTGCAAAATAATTTGAGTGAAGATAAATAAAAACTGGCCAATGAACAATGGGTAAGCAAATGCATTGGGTTAGCATCCAGGACTTGAAGCGATGAATTTACTTAGTGAAACGACAAGGTGGTTTATTTTAAAATTGCTTGAATGAATGGGAGACTGACTGGCTGGCAAGTTATTACATTCAATGAAGTGAAAAGAAATAAAAGTCCTTTTTTCAGTTACATACGGTAAACACTTCTCGATAAAACCATACAAACGAGTAGTATGAAGTTTTTGGGCAACGACTGCTAATTATTTCCAGAGGTTATGTCACTCAAGAATGGTAAATTGTCTGATTTTTAAATATCATTTCCCCGATAACTTCAAGACAGAATTCTCATATTGCGGTTTCTGAACTTAATCCTGCAGTTACCTCGGGAGAAGTATTGGTTTTATTCAACCACAGGAGAAATAAATAACAGTGTTTTGCAAGACAATCGTTATGTGCACGATTAGCGTATGACACCTACAAGAAATGGTTAACTGAATATTTAGGTATGACTGATGTTGGCAGTAATCTTTGCGATTACGTTCCCAAATCATCACACCCGGATTTTTATAAAAACCAAATAGGGAATGAAATGGCAGTTGTAGTGAGGTATTCACCCAGTGCCTCCATTCCGCTTTTTGGTTGTAAATGAGTGCTTATGATGTCTTGAGAATGAGACCACTGAAAACGTGTTTGCCTCCACATTGTCTTCTTTTGCAAATCGAGGGCTTCATTAGTGCCGTTAGGAATCCTTATGACATGAAAACAGTAAAACCCTTGAGGCTCGCTCTCGTTGTGAGGCCTGTTCACCGTTTCTACGAGGGGTACATTGGTGAACAGAGATTTCACGTCTAATGAAAACATCTTCTGTTGAACGTTCACATATTTGATGGCCTCACCGAACTGAAAGCTGTCACGAAGCGTGTGCTTGACAAGCCTTTGTCGAACTGGCTCCAAGAGTCCTACCATCCACCATGCTGTAGCATGATAGGCCGAGATTGCCAAAGATAAAGTTTGACGAAGGGGTAGGGCAGGTTTGTGCACTTTTGGTAACCCATAAAGACGAGGCATAGTTGAAATTATAGGTTTAAGCTTCCCAAACAGACTGGATGATATATATCCATTGACTTTCAAATTCCCCACTGCGTTGGTAATTTCTTTCTCTGCACGATCCGTTTGGTCTTTTCCCGATAAATCACGAGTGAACTTAGATTCGTCACCCAATAAGTGCAACAGCTTGCAAACACTCACCACGATTCATTATCACTACCCCACTTCCTTTGTTCGGTCTACTGAGAATTACCTGTCGATTTCGTAGTAACTTCCTGAGTTCATCTATATGTTTCCCTGTTAGGAGGCCTTGGTTTGGGGTCTGATCTCTCCGAAACTGATGGCGTGCTGTGACTAGTGGGCTTTTGAAACGTTTTAGGTCAATGAGTGGTTTCGGTATTAAATCACTGATTTGTCGTACGAGGCTCTCAAAGGGGCTTCTAGATCTATCCAGTTTTCATTCTTGCGATTATAACGAAACCTCGACCCGAGGGACAGGGCTTCAATTAAAATCGGACTCAGTATTACATCAGAAATGTTGTGAACGTACCGTTCAGGCGTATTCGGAAAGCTCATCTGTGGTTTAAGTTGGCTTAGAGTCTGGTTCAGAGCTGAAAATTGCTTTTCCGAACGGCCTGTAGTGATTTGTTATGCGTACTTCGTGAACAGTTCCTTATCCGTCTCACGCAGAGATGCAACAGCGACCTGGTGTTGAGCCGTAATACGTTCCAACTCAAAAACTTTAGATTTCACGGCGTCATACTGATTTAAAGCGCTTGAGTGTTTCACTATTAGGATGTATCCGGTATCGGTGTAAATGTTTCTAGTGAAGTATGGGGTATGTATTTTCCTTCACACAATTCTGAATAAAATCCACACAAATGATAGCGTCATACAGTTTGGCGGAAAATCGGAGGAACTGGTTTGATTCTTTTACCACCAGGGTTTTAACGATTCTTGGGTATTCGGAAAAAACAATTGATTACCTTCAGGTGCTTATTCTGGACATCGACCATCAAAAAATGTGAGAACAGGGATAAGGTGCCTTTGTTGACCTCTTCAATGATTATTTATCAATTCAAGTGCACCTGTGGTGACAATTAGGTGGGCCGAATGACAAGGCATTTGTCTAAACACATTAAAGAGCATCAACTACCTTGGCTTCAACATGGAGGAAGAGGAGCTGTATCAAGCTCCATTCTCGCTCCTCTGTTACGCACAGGCCACAACGTTGATCCGGCTACGTCATTCAGTGTCGTATACAGAGTCCAACTGAGTGAGTCAAAATCAGTCAGATAAAGGACATTAGCGACGGCCGGGGCAATCAGCACCCGGCTAATGAGGCCCAAGCTTTGTTCACAAAAGATGTTGGCTCAAGCACTCGAACTTCCGTGGCCGAAGGTCGATGACCTCATTCTCGAATGCCATGTCCATCCAGGTATCTGACGATGACACGTGATTTTACCACGTCTACTGTTCCTCTGCCGACTAGTCAGCTAACCAATCAATTGACTGACTGACTGACTGATTGACTAACTGACTAAATGTGTCCTTCCGCTTCTCTTATTTTGTTTCATATAAATGTGATTGTAATTGGCTGGATAATGAAATCACCGAAAATATGTTCACTTGCGCCTTGCTTTCTGATGTTAACCAAGGGCTTTTTCCGTATACTCAAGTACTGCTTTCATTGAGACCTTGACGCTGAACGGACATGATATTTATGTAGATCTGATTACAAGAAGAGATGACCTTTCCTAAATGGAAATTAGTTTGGCTTATGAGACTAAATCAGTCGTGTGAATACCCCGTGGCCCCAAAAATTGGATGCCGCTAAAACAACGTCACCATATTGTGTTTACAACTGCATAAACGATACTGGCTGTCCTCGTGCATTCTGTTACAGAACTTGAGCGTTATTTATTTTTCTCTTGGAGGAATCTTTTCCAATCAGAGAACGCTATTCACGTTCCTAATAAACTCGCTTTTCACGAAACTTGCTTTATCGAAATTTCTTCTAAAGTGTTTGTCACACTGAGTACAACTAGCAGCGAAGCAATTATGTTGCTGGTATGTTTCCCGGGATTTAGGCTTCTCCGCCTTGTAATCGCAGATGCTCTTCAGCAGAAAAGAGCTACAGTGCAATGAGCTTTATCTGGATTCCTCACTCGAATCAGAATCTATTGTAATTTTATTGATGACAAATGTTTTTTTTCGTATCTCCCCTGGTGAAGTGAAAACCAAATACTGCCCTCTACTGATAAGACGAATTTTATTCAAGAGAACCGTGTTTCTGACGGATGGGTGGATGTAATATTTGGAAAATTTACAATATCTATCCCCGTTAAATTGTAATCAAGGTCTAAAACTGATTCAAAGGATGAAAAAACTTGGCACTGTAATATATTTTCTAGCACGGCTTGTTGACCCCACTAGATATCTACAAACAACCAACTTTCATCTACCAGACACTTTAAAGTAAATTGTTGATTTTTCCCGCCGGTTAGTCCACCTTACTTTTCAGGTGAATATTTTGATCGAATAGGATTATTATTGACGACGTACGTTCGTTAATTAGGGAGAGATTTCACCTGAACCTAACTTAAAAGAGATAACATCAGCTGGTTCATTGACTTAACACTGGATATTTAGTCACTTTGCTCCTTGTCAGCCTCAGTATAAACAGCGTGTCCTCACCAAAGATGTAATTTACGGACAAAACATTTTGTAGCCGTATTGTTTGCCGGTGAGACGAGTTTGCACACAAAGACTCAATGTCGCCAACTGGAAAGGCATAAAACAATTTTATACTTGTAATTAGATGTAATTAATTAAGTAAAGAATCTCATAACTACGAAATTTTGAAGAAGACCATCCAGCATTGCCAACATCTCGTTATCCGTTGTAATAGCTCCAGACATAGTCCGCACCCTATTTTCGAATCAGGCTGACCGTGTTAGTAGTTGGATATGAAATATAGTTAATAACATATCCGCTTTACATACCTCAAGCCAAGTTAATCATTCTGGATATATTTTCTGATCTTTTTATGAAACAGCGAGAGCGGTAAACGCTTTGCAGCAGTACTTGCTTGCCTGCGTATCGATTTCCTATGTTGAATCTGTATCTGACAGCGTGTTCTTTGAGATTTGGCCTGCTAATCGGTTTTCGTAGATCGTGAAATGTGTAGGAATGACGAGGCTTTACGTTGAAATTAGACCTACAAAGGTAGTCACAGAGTGGTATCGAACAGGTGATTAACGAAGTTAACATTTCAGAAGTGAGGACGATGAATGACATGTTAACTTTTCGTGTGCGATCCCTCTCCCTCTCTCTCTCTCCCTATATATATATATATATATATATATATATATATATATATATATATATATATATAT